ATTAGAGAGCAGAGTGACACGAGGAGCGCCTGGAAAGTAGACAGAGCAGGACGGGGAATGCCACTGGATCTGCAGCCCCAGGCGCAGTGTGTGTGTGTGTGTGTGTGTGTGTGTGTGTGTGTGTGTGTGTGTCTGGCGTGGGGTGGGGGTCGAGGCTCGGGGGGTAATCGTGGAGAGTGTAGAGAAGCATTGAATTCAGACCCAAGGGCCAGCGCCTCTAGCCCCGGCTTTGTGGCTGGCTGGCAATGCACCTTCAGGCCAGTCACCCGCCATCGCTGAGCCTCGATGTTCTTCAGCTGTGAAACCAGAAACTGGAGCAGATTATCTCTGAGGTCTGTCCCGTGTCAGTAATTTCGAGACTTGCCCCACATCTCCTTTTCTTCTTTTACTGTCCCCTCTCCACCTTCGGCTCAAGGCTATAGAAAATTTTATCTTTGGTTGGCAAATAGCATAACTTTTTTGGGGGGGACAATTATTTCATTCCATGAACTTGGACAAGCCCTGTCAGTGTAAAAGAGCAGCAAAATCTGTGTCATCATTATTGGGGAATTTTTGAAGAACAAATAATCTCAAACTGATCAATGTGGTTTCTATTAAACCAGTATCATTTCTTCTACCATCCACCCACTTGCTTTTGCTGAATTATTACCTGATGCAATGCCACTTGTTAATGTTAGGGTCTCCAGAAGCAAAAGCCCTAGGAACCTCACTGCTGTGTTTACTATAAGGATATTTTCAAATATGTTATTAATTTCACGAAGAAGAAGAACCACAAGAGAAATTTCTCTCCCATCTCCAGATCAGGAAGAGGTGTGCCATTACTGAGCTCACCTGGCTCGTCTCTACCTCAGGGACCCCGTGACTGGGGTAAAGAACTCCGTTTCCCTCTTCACAGTTTGGTGCTGCTGGAAAGCACAGAGCCAAGGCCGGGTCCAGATGCACGGCTGCACGTGGCATGCTCCTCACCCAGGCTGTCTTCCCTCCCTGCTCTGAGTCTTTCTCAGGCTCATTTTTTCTCCTTTTTAAAAATTTATTCTTATCTTTCTGAATTATATGCATTTGGGCACTTTAAATACCTCTGGAAACAAGGAGGTTTAAAAATAAATGAACACACCAAGGCTGGCCCCATGGCTTAGCTGTTAAGTGTGCACACTCTGCTGCTGGTGGCCCGGGTTCAGAGCATGAGCGCGCACCGACGCACCGCTTCTCCGGCCATGCTGAGGCAGCGTCCCACATACAGCAACTAGAAGGATGTGCAACTATGACATACAACTATCTACTGGGGCTTTGGGGGAAAAAAAAGGAGGAGGATTGGCAATAGATGTTAGCCCAGGGCCAGTCTTCCTCAGCAAAAAGAGGAGGATTGGCATGGATGTTAGCTCAGGGCTGATCTTCCTCACAAAATAAATAAACAAATAAATGAACACAAACAAATAAGTAACCTGTACAACTGAAAGCTTGGTTTTCTAGACCAGGGGTCAGCAAACTCTGGCCTGCTGGCCAAATCCAGCCTCCATTTGTTTTTGTATGGTCCACAAGCTAAGAATGGCTTTCACATCTTTTAACGGTTTGGGAGGAAGAGAGGAAGAAGAGTGGTGATATGCAAAAATCATATGAAACTCACATTTCAGTGTCATAAATAAAGTTTTATGGGAACACAGCCACGCCCATGCATTTGCTTATTGCCTATGGCTGCTTTCAGCCACACTGGCTGAGTTCACTAGTTATGGCAAAGGTGGATGTGGCCTGTAAGCCCAAGATATTGACTCTCTGGCCTTTTGCAAGAAAAGTTTGCTGACCCCTGGATTAGCCTTCATCTTCCATCTGCTTGAGTTCCTCCTGGCTGACGTTAGTACTGTACAACTGCTTCAAAGCTCGGTGTTTGCTGCATCCTTACTCAGTCTAGCTATGTTTGTGCTTTGTCCATAAAACTTCTCGGTGTACTTTAACCTTGACCCAAGGTCGGATTTACTGTCTTGCTCAGAGTTCAATGGTATGTAATAGAGACAATTAACTTTCAGCCTCATAGAAATGATTGAAGGAGGCTCTTGGATGACAATTTTACAGACAATAATAAAATGAATCCACAAAAACCTCTATTTTTGCTGAAAATTCTAAGCCAACAGAAGGATCTACACAGCAACTTGGCACTTTTTCCACCACATTCAAACAATTTGCTTTGGTTTCTTTTCAGCTGACGCATGCGTTTGCACATTTACTGATTTTTTCCTCCCCTGGTCATCCTTAGTTAGAAATATAACCAAGTCTCTGTGGAAACACAGCATAATGCTCTCTCACGGATTATCGAAGGACCCAAGCAGCTGGTATTGGGCTGAAGGCTGCTGTGGCATCTGACCAAATTAGGAAGAGAGAACAGCTTACCCGTCTCTTCCAGACCTCTCAGAATTCTAAAGCTCAGCGTGGAAACCCACACAGACTGTAAATTACTGTGGATTTTTTTATTCTTTCTTTTCCTTCTGAGAATCTTATATCTTATTCATTTGCATGTTTCAGCTTTGGGGGCTTTCCTCCCCTACCCCTAGAATGGTTGACAGAGTCTAGAGAATAAGCAGGAAGGGAACCTACATTTAGCAAGCACCTACTGTGTGCAGGCACTTATATGTGCAGCTGACCCAACGTCACACAGTTCATAAACCAGAAGAGCTGGGATTTGAAGTCTGGAGTGGTTAACTCCAAAGCCCATTCTCTTTCCACTACACATGAAGTAATACCCTTCAAAAAGGAGGAAATAGAAAAGACAGGTGAACAAGGTCCTTAACACAGCCATGGTCTTTGGGGGACGGTGGAAGTCAAGATAAAGGAGTGAGAACACGAAAGTTATGTTTATGAGAAGTCAAAGTCAAAAGCCACGCTGGGGAAGAACCAGGAGAACCTGGGCTCTCTTCCCTCAAAATCCCCACCAATGCTTAAAGGAGGATGTTTTCAATAAGGATAATTAGTAAGTGCCTTGAAAGAAGAATAGACCAAGTGCTACGGGAATTTGGAGAAAGAAGGGCTGCTTCAAGTTGGGGGTGGGGGGGTGATGGAGGGACGTGTCAGGGGGAGGTGGCAGAACACAGCAAGTTCTCCGTAATTCAAAGCCTGAGCCGGTTCCTGGGGCCATTTATCAATTTAAGTGTACTTTTCTCTCCTCAAATTCTGACCTGGGAACAACAATCTCCTAAGTCCTATTTCTTACTAGCGTGTGATCCGCTGGCACATACGCTTCCCAAGAGCCCACCTCCGTGAGCGGGACTGGGTGTCCTCGAGGTCGCAGAGCCTTGCACTCCGAGGCATATTGCACTCTCAATCCGTGGAGAGTATGGGATCTGCAGGGGCGCCTCGGAAACCAGGCTGGGGAGTGACTGCCCTCCTCAAGCAGGTGGGCTCCAGGCTCCCAACATCAACTGGGACATCTTTGTTTTCACCTGTTTGAAGAAAGTATTTCTCTGCATCATAACTGTTTGAGGAACGCTGTCCTAGAACAGATCTTTGTCTGAACATGGGCACACATCACAAAATGTGTAATGATATTCAAACCAGGGCTTTTGAGAGGAAGAGGCAGCCCTCTGAAGGTTTACACGAGAGGCATGGTAATACCTCTCATCCTGTGACAAAGATGCGAAGACAGATTATTTTTTAAACAATGAAACAGCCCAGCCTCACCTGATCTGTACCCCCCATTGCCACCAGTGAGGGTCAAGAAGAGCATGGAGAAGAGAATGAGAGAGCATGCAGAGGCAGAGGAAGGCGGCTCCTTCGTAGGAAGACAGATCCAGGAGAGGTGGGTGAGGAAGTGCATCTCCTCCTCCATCCCGGCGTAAGGAGGCCGGGTTCTCTTGGAAAGGCAGTTAGACTCTTCTTAGGCTGTACTTCTAAAGCACGACGGGGGGGCTGCCCCAGGTTTACACGCCCTATAAACCTAGAGGAGCTCCTTCCTCTTATGCATGAGCCCTTTATTGCAAAGTCTGTGGGAAATATTTTTTTCTCCAGAGAGGAGCCATCTCATTGCAAATTGTTTTATTAATCGAATTAGCTGATAAACCGGAGCAGTAGCTACTACGTTAACACAGACCTTTAGGTTATAGGAAAATGAAATCACTGGGGACACCTCGTCCCTGCAAAAGCAATCTTGTTCTGTGAAGTGGAAGTTTTGACTTGAACTAAGACAACTGCTCTTGACCAACGCTAAGTTGTTCTGTCAGTTTTCAGCGCCCCTGTCCTTCTCAACGGCTTTTGATCAGCTTTCCAGATGTTTAAAACCCAGGCGTTTGTCAGGGAAGCACATGTGGGGGTACTGCGGGTGATTCAGCTACGCACAGGCACATCTTACAGACGTTTGAATGGTGACTGCTCTGGAGAAGAATGATACTTCCCATCTCAGAGCAATTTATAAAGATTACATATCCAACCCTATGGCAGGAGAAAATTTCTCCCTTTCCTTAATCTTTCACTGAATAATGATGGTGCTGGAAGGTTAAAGAACAACCAGTAATTTATCTCGGGCTACCCTGATAAAAAGTGCTGTCATTTTGAGAAGAACTTGCTCAGTTTCATGAACTACTTTATTAGCCATTAGCACAGACCACATGATTCAGGCTTAGAAGAAAATACCAGCCTTGAAGCCCAGGCAGCACTTTAAAAATCCTACTCTTAATTTATGAACTCCCATAAGAAGAATAGAGGCCCCATTCTTCACTATAACCCACAAAATCACCGCCCCACTCAGAGTCAAAGATATTTCTACTGGCAGCACACGCTTAGGAGCCTCCACAGGTGAGCTTGACTATCTTTTACGTAACCTGTTGAGCAAAGACAAAGTAAATAATTTAAGGCTCGAAAAAATAAGGCAGCCCAAGAAGAGGGCTACTGAATTCATTTTTCTTTTCCTTTTCCTATATACTGTTTCTTTTGCTATTTCAATTCTTATTCCTCTAATAACAACAACCTTTGACTTCAGCGCAGTGCCCTGGCTGGACAACATTGCAACCAGCAAGTACCTGTAAGGCATGCCTGTCTCCGCCCTCGTGGTTTCCTGCAACGAAATTCCATGGACACGTAAAAACTTCTCCAGGTGTTTCCGTTCCGCTGCTCCACTGGGCCTAACGGGCCAGCAGGCTGCCTGAGGCGGAGGCTTGGTCACCACTGCGTGCCGTCTGCATTTCAGAGCCGACTCACTGGACCTGGGCAGCCCCAGCTTGGGGCTAGGGATGTCTGCACAGGCAGGTTTATAAAGATGCATGTTTCAGAAACTCAAAGAAGCAAAGCTAATTTCCCAGTACTCAGCTCTAAGACTGGCTGTGTCTTGCTATGATTAACTTGGGTTATCTGGCTTTGGTGTGTTCCCGAAAGGGATCAGCTTGTTTTCCTTAGATGTCCCTTATCATTTTTGAATGCGAGCAGGCTCCTGAATCCCTGGCAGAGCTGCTGGTTACATGTCTCTGCCAAGGCAGTGTAAAAAGAAGCCTGACAAAGGCCAGTCACTTTTCTCGTCCCTGTAAACTTAGCAAAGTCAGGCTTAAGAAACTATGTATTGGTCCTGGGAAAAAAATATGGGCACTCTTTCCCATGTCTGTCTATTTAGGTAAAAGGAAATATTTTGGTGGGATATGGGCCAAATGTTCTGTTCTCATAAGGACCGTAAGGCCTTGGGGATGATTCATGAGTGTGTAATGAGACCTTTATAAGTTATCAAATATATTACAATCAAATAATTTATACACATGATTCATTTGGGTGAAAGGTCCATTAACCTTTTTTTTCAGATGTTGCTGTCAAATGACAGGAAATATCAATCAGGTGGTTGTAAAAAGCAAAGAACCCACACAAATATGCCCGACTGTTTTCTGACAAAAGTGCAAGAGCCATTCAGTGGAAGAAGGACAGGCTCTTCAACAAATGATGCTGCAGCAGCTGGACGTCTGTAAGCAAAAGCAAACAAAAACAGACGGACCCTGAACTTAAACCTCCTATTTCTACAAAAATTCGCTCAAAATGGATCACAGACTTAAATGTAAAATGTAAAATTATAAAACTTCTAGGTAAAACTTAGGAGAAAATCTTCAGGACCTAGGACTAAGTGAAGAGTTCTTAGACTTGACACCAAAAACACAATCCACAAAAGGAAAAATTAATAAATTGGATCTCATCAACATTTAAAACTTTCGCTCTGTGAAAGACTTGGTAAAGAGGATGAAAAAACAAATTACAGACTGAGAGAAAATATTTGCAAACCACATATCTAACTAAGAACTTATATCTAGAATAAGTTCTTTATAATATATAAAGAACTCTTAGAACTCAACAATAAAAACGTAGACAATCCAATTAGCAAATGGACAAAAGATACGAACAGACATTTCACTGAAGAGGATTTACAGATGGCAAATAAGTGCATGAAAAGATGTTCAACATCGTTAGCCATGAGGGAAAATGCAAATTAAATATACACGAGATATCACTGCATACGTTTCGGAACAGCTAAAATAAAAATGGCAATAACAGCAAATGCTGGCAAGGATTCAGAGAAACTAGATCCCTCATAAATTGCTGGTAGGAATCTAAAATGGTACCACCGCTCCCAAAAAGAGCACGACAGTTTCTTATAAAACTAAACATAACAACCTTACCATGTGACACAGCAATTGTACTCTTGAGTATTTATCCCAGAGAAATGAAATCTACGTTCACACAAAAACCTGTACACAAATGTTCATAGCAGGTTTATTTGTAACAGCCAAAAACTGGAAACAACCCCAATTTTCTACAGTGGGTGAATGGTTCAACTGTGGAACATCCGTACCGTGGAATATTACTCAGCAATAAAAAGGAATGAACTATTGATACAAGCAACAAGTTGGATGGATCTTAAGGGAATTATGCTGAGTGAAAAAAAGCCAATACCAAAAAGTTACATGCTGTGTGTCTGCATTTATATCACATTCTTGGGTTGACAGAATTATGGAGATGGATAACTGATTAGTGGTTGCTGGGGGTTAGGGAGGAGGAAAGGGAGGGAGGGGCTGTGTCTATAAAAGGATAGACAAGGGATTCTTGTTTTGGAGCTGTCATGTGTCTTGACTATTGTGATGGTCACACCAATCCACACTTGTGATAAAATTATGTAACACACACACACACACACACATGAGTGCATATAAAACCAATGAACCCTGAGTAAGCTCAGCGACTTGTATCATCGTCAATTTCCTGATCGAGTTATTGAACTATCGTTATGCAAAATGTCATCACCAGGGGAAACTGAGTGAAGGGTATATGGGATCTCTCTGTATTGTTTCTTACAACTGCAAGTGAATCAATAATTATGATAAAAAAGTAAAAAGTTAAAATAAAAAGTTAAAAAATTAAATAAAAGTAAAAAGTTTAAAAAAAAGCAAAGAGACTCCTCATATAAAGGTCCTTCCACCTTGTGATTCCAGCTGTGGCTCTCCTCCGTCCTTGACTCCCGGACATGAATGATTCATCCAGTCCAACCAGCTTCCCACTCCCACCCCGCCTGTCACCACATCTTCGCTCTCGTGGCTTCTCCCGCACCCCCTCAGACGTGCCCTCACAGCTCACCACCTCTGGGAATTCTTCCCTGATCACCCATCCCTGGTCTACAATCATTCCTTGACATGCCTCTTGCAATTCACTTCTAAAGCACTCACTTGACACTTGTAAAGTGTTTCCCAGACATTTGCACCCCCTGATGATTTCTGCCATATTTTTGTACCATTTGTACCATTATTTATTTACTATTTGGAATTAACTTGCTTTTTTCCTAGCTAAATGAATTTATTTAGTGTCATGAACTGAATGTTTTTTGTCCCCTCTGAAATTCATATGTTGAAATCTAGTTTCCAATGCCTTGGTATTTGGAGGTGGAGCCTTTGGGAGGTGATAGGTCATAAGGGTGGAGCACTTATAAGAGGCCAGAGAGCTAGGTCACTCTCTTTCCACCATGTGAGGACACAGCAAGAAGATGATCGTATGTAACCCAGGAAGAAGGCTGTCACCAGAACACGACCATGCAGACACCCTGACCTTGAAATTCTCAGCCTGCAGAACCAGGAGAATAAATGTTTGTTGCTTAAATCACACAGTCTATAGTGATTTGTTATAGCAGCCTGAACTAAGACATTTAATAAGGAAACATTATATTACTAGCACAAGTAGAAAAATGTTATCACTTGTAGTAAAATAGAATGTAACCTGTAAAAAATAAATACAATGAAAATGAAGACTATTATTAGATTGCACTGGACACTACTGGTGTCCAAAGGCTCTAAACCGGAGTCCTACCACTTTTTGGTGTTTATTGAGGAGGGTAAAAGGTATTAGATAGGTGTTTGAGATATTTTAGTACAAATCTGAGACTTTCTTTTTTTCTTTTTTTAGGTAATCAGAAGAATTGAAAGGAAGTTGAAACAGGACTATGCCACCTTTACAATGTGAATCAAAGTTATTTAATGCCCCATCCGTGTACCCACTAAAATCATCGTGTCCACCAGGGGTACTGTACCTACTTTGGGAAACACAGACTGATAACACATTGTCCCACAGTATTAAATACCTCTGCCTCCTGCAGGCGCACGTCTAACTCCCCGTCTAGACTCTACGCTCTTTGAGGGGAGGGATGAACTGTATCTGGTGTAAGCTTGTAACCTCCATAATAATCGGCATGGTGTTTTGTGCACAATCAATATTTCAAAGATATTAACGGTTTGCTTGCTTGAATTTTAAACTCCCAAAAGCTACCTTTCCTCTTGTCAATCTATGTCCATTTTCACCCCAGCAGCCAAAGCTCTGAGCCTCAAGGGAGGAATAAGAGCTTGTAGAGACAAGGCCAGAAAAGCTAGAAGAAGCAGTGAGCAGCGGATGGAGTTGTGGAGAACCCTGCATTCCCGAGTCAAGCTGTACCTACCGCTCCGTCACGTACACCAGCCACTAGTGGAATCTGACTGTGTGAGCCATGGAAGTGTTCCTCCAGTGGGAGTTCCCGCCAAGAGAACAGAGGTGAAGTGGAAAAGCAGTCGTGAAATCTGAGACACGAGCCCTCTTCGACCCATCACTCGCTTTTTCTGCCCTCTGGACGTGGAGCCAAGCCCAGGAAGGGAGAGAGGGATGAGAAAGCCAGTATTCGGCTAAACTGAAGTTTCTTTTCATAAAGTTTTAAAAGTTGATCACTGTCATAAAAGGTCCGAACTTGAAGCTGGGGAGTAGAAACTATATTTATAAGGGATGTATTAGCCCCTTTGGCTCTCAATGCAAATTAGGATCAGTTTTAAATTAAATGTATAAGAGTATAAGAAATGCCTCTGAGTAGCTGACGGGCAGTTAATGTCTGTCTTGCTGCCTTTCTGTGTCTCAGGAATGATAATTATCATATACTGTTCAGAATCTTTGAGTATTATGCAATCCCAGGGTCAGCAGAGCATGGGAAAAAGTGACCAGGCCATCCAATGAGAGAGGTGCTTCCGGCCGCGTTCTGCTAATGGGGCACCAGAGGCCATGGGACCCAGAAGTCACAAATAGAAGTTCCCATGGCTCTGGGCGGTGGCCAGGCTTCACCACACCTGTTCAGCTTTCATAAATAATTGTGGGACCTTGGGCAGGTCTTCACCTCTCCGTTCCCTGGGTTTCTTTATTGGCTCAGACTTAAGTAATGTTTAAGGTTCTTCTAAGTCTGATGTTCTGTGAGTCTTGAAAACTACTTGGGTAGACACTCTATAGAGTGAGGGCCCTTCCTGTGTTGACAGGTGAGGCGTGGATTCAATAACTTACCAGCCAAGTTCTCTAAGATACCAAGCCCATGAGATGGCTACTATCATTCTTGGAATATACCAATCATATTTATAGCCCGGTTTTAAATTTTTCTTGGCTAAAGAAGTGACTGTTAAACACCACATCCTGGATTTATGGACATATCACAGTCATCTAAGAATTGTCTTGGCCTCCAATTGAAAACTGAGGTGGGAGCTGGTGGGGCTAGGAGAATGGGGCTGTGTTTCCACGGCTGGGGGAAGGAGTGCTGCTTCTGCCCAAATGAGTTTGGACAAGGGACACCAGTCCACGGGTCAGAGCCTGTCTTTCTATTCCAATTATTTATGGGAACTTCGTCCTCTTGCTCCCGCTCAGGTGTCTGCTCACCAGCATTCTGCAGGTGACACAGTGACAGGCAAGTCCCCTGACTGAGACGTCTGCCTCCGTCCCCCTGGGGACCAACAAAGGGGTTTCTCCCCTTGTCATTGCCATCTTCTCTCACCTTTGCCAGAGCTACCTCAGGATCTAGTTGTGTGTGGCGAGACCACAGTTAAATATGTGTGTGTTGTATCAACACAATGCAATGAAGAAAATGTCACCTTTGTCCTTGAGGAGCTCACAGAAGAAGGGAGGGGAGAGAGAGTAAAGGTTACGTAGCAGGGCACTCTGAGCTTCGTTGGAGGCGAGCAGGGAGAAGACACACAGCCCAGTCCTAGGGTGGAGTGGAGGAAGT